ATGAGCAACACTTAAGGGTCTTCTTTAGGTCCCCAGAGGGGCTTCTTCAAAACCATGGATACGTTTCATGATGAAGCTGTTCAATAAATTATTTTCAACGGCAGGCATGTGTTGGAAGGTGTAGGGATGCTTAGAACAAATGGCTTTTCGCTTTGAAAAAGATCTTTAAAGCCAATTCATAAGGCATGACAGCAACGAGAGGGTCAGCGAGAGCAGTCGAGATCAACAGACAGTAGTATTGTGATAGATAAGGCGGCCGCAATTGATCTCAACTGGTATCTTGTTGGTAACAGGTCTACGGACAACTCGTACATGATCCCTTCAAAAGCGTCAACCTTCTGTTTTTCTCTGCCCTCTCTCTCTCCCTCGTCCATATGGCATTTGACCATCGTGACCTTACAATTTCCAACTCTTCGCAAATGAAAAGTGGTTCCCACCTCGGAGTCTCCTCCCTTTGAAAAGCCCATATCCTGGCGGCTCACCACATGTTCGTTGCATATTTCGATGTTTTGGCAGCCGCTGCCCTCTATCGGTCTTCGTTACATGGTTTCGCAAGAGGGCAATGCACAAAAGTTCAAGGTTTCATCTTGTCATAACAATGTCCCCGCCTACGTCTGGCGAGTCTTCTGCTGTTCTGGCTGGGTGGGGCGGTGGGTGGAGCCACTGAGAGGAACGGCGGCCTTGAGCCTCTTGTCACTCGGTTGCCATCGTTGTCAGTGCGTTGACTTTGGCTCTTGCTCATGGAGGTAAAGGAACTTCTCTAGCTAATGCGTGAACAAGCCCGCCGCCCGCCAAAAAAATCTTGAGAGGAAGCGCCGAAGTAATGTGTAAGAACTCAGCAAATCAACCTGGTTGGTATTGCCCCTCACATGGTACCCCAACCCTCGCAAATGACGGCAGTAAGCGATACAACATGTGCGGCAGCACTCAGACCTGATATCATCCAGTATCTGGGCTGATTTCTCTCATAATAGCTATGGAGCTAGACTAAGTCTCCGACTGATCTTCGTTTGGCTGACGGAATTTTGTGACATGTTACTTGTTCAGATACATCAACTAGTATTCTTTGCCAACTGCGTTGGAGACGCTGCGAATCAGTATTCGCGAAGCCTCAGGGTTTGCCAATCAGGTTGCACATCATTGGGGTGTACTAATATCGCATCTAAGGGCGAGAAAAAAGCCGCCACATGACGCGTGGACTCGTCTAGGCTGTATTCGTTGTCTTATTCTTTTCAGTCTGCAAGACAACGACTTCGCGGTGAATCACGCGTATGCATTTTGTTGCCTGCAGCCTCGTAGGACGATATTATACGCTCGTGGGAAAGCGTCTTAGCTTGTCGACTCTTGCGTTAAAAAGAGTAGGGTGCTGTTTGGCTTGGTGCAGGCATTTTGGGAACTCGCATCGATCACTGATCACTGTCGATGCCTCCTGTGGGAACAGTAAACTCGTGTGAAGACATAAAGTAGCATGAGCTTGTCTCATCAAAGTGAAACATGTAATTTGAGAGGAACTAGCAAAAGAAACTAGCTAGGGGAATCCCCCCCGTGCAGTCAAACAGTTCCGGGGATTAGTTCTAGCGAGTCAGAATCGTCGATCTAAATTCCATTAGTATTTTTTCTGCACGATACCATTCTAGAGGGGAACGAGTGCATTTCTAATCCCCGTTATTTGATTGCACTTTGTTGCTGTGTTGGACTTTCGTGTACCAGATTTCCATTACTACGAAAATCACGTTTCCTATTACAGCTAACAGAATATGTCTCGTCAGCGCTCCAACATCATCCCTCTTCCTCTATGTGGCCCAGACAGGCACAAGGCGCTCTTTTGGGGTCTCTATTGGATTGTCGACACTAAGCCCCATCTCCACAGCTTAGTCTACAACTCTGAGCTACTTACTGTGTTCTAGTCGTGAAGTGGGTATTGCCCCAGAGTTTTCCAGTGTCCAGTGTTCGCCAAAAAAATACTTTTCAAAAATTACCAAACCTTACCGTTCCAACCGTTGTATATGCCTCCCATCTACCTACCCGTTGCTCAGTTTCACTCATATTCCCCGTTTCCTGGCTGCTCCGGATGCGTTTTGAGGATTTTTATCCTCGGCTTCGTCCACTTCGGCACACCCCGCCCACTGTGGGCGGAGCCTAGGTTACTTTGTATGCGCTCTGTAAATATTCCCCATGCCACATCCATCCCAACGTTGATCCGTTCCCTAATAGTGATTCTCCACGCAGTCCCCAATTTTCGAGCGGTCACACAGACATACACACATACAACTTCTGGTTTATATATAGAGATTCCGACAGGCTGTATAGTTGATATCTCCGCAATGAGTGGGGGCGGTCTCAGGAGGGGTGAAGTGAGCGCCCGCGGCCGCACTTCCTTCCACTAGTGATCGGTGAGCGGTCGTTATAGAAGGAAAGCAATCACTGGTAGAAAACTCCGACGATGGGCTTCATGCCACCTGACACCGCTCCGACTGACTGCGACAATATCTACTGTATATCTATCGATATTTCTGATCCCGCCCAGAAAACCACATCTACGTTCTTCAGACCTCTCGGCCTTGTCAGCTCCGCACTTATATTAGGTGACCGTGTCAAATGTCGTTTGTCGACTTTACCTAGGATTTTCAACGTTTGCAGATGAAGCGGAAACTCCCAAAACCATTACTGCAACATCCCGAATCGTTTCTCGTGGGGGAATCGGTCTCGGAGCCGCTAAATTGCGTGAAAATGTTATCTTCAGGGCATCCCAGCCACCCTCATCGCAATGTTTGCACAAGCGGATAAATATCACCAGCATTCCCCAAATGGCTTCGATCCCAATGCTAAGCAGCTTAATGAATGGGCAACTCAAAAAGGGATTGCTTTCATCCTTTATTTGCGACCTTTAGCTCATCCATACTGCCGGTTTGCTGAATGTCTATGTTCTTGCGCACACACTCGTGCCTTTCTTTTCTTTTTTTCTATCCTGATAGCTCTAGAATCTTCTCTTTGTTTTCACAACGCATTAGTCATCTTGGGTTCCCGTAGTAATACCATAGTATTGGCTCTCACATACAGTCTTGTTCACTGCGGATGAAGGGGCGTCAAAGCGGGGCAGGTTCGCTGCAGAGCCAAACTCGTTTACCCGTTTTCCACCGTTCATACTTAACGGCGGCGACCACCAGCGTCCATCAGCGACCAGCAGCATCCAGGAGTGGAGAGTGTGGAGAGATAGGAGGGTAGCAGACTGCAGGTAAAAGGCATGGGGATGTAGAAGGGTAGCTGTCTGCTACCCTCTTATCTCCCCATGCTTTCCACTTTTGAACGCTTTTGGTCGCTGGTAGACAGTGGTGAACACTGCTGGTTGCTAGATCGACTCCCATACTTCCCTAGGCCTCAAGACGCTGCTGGTCGCTGGTAGACGCTGCTGGTCGCTAGATCGATATCTATACTTTCCTATTCGCTGACGCTGACGGACGCTCGAAACGCTGCTGGTCGCTGGTGGACGCTGGTTGTCGCTCCCGCAAAGTATGAACGCAGCCTGAGAGCGGGCAAGCGACAAGACTGTATCACATCGCTCGTATCGAGCGTTTCAAACCCGTTGCTATCGCTTACCCGCTTCAACAACTGGCGGAGATCGGGTTTGGCGCCGCCCACCCTACCTGGCACGCCCCTCCATCGAAAGACTCTACAGTCTTGTTCACTGCGGATCCTGGATCGTGTCAGAGGGGCTAGGTTCGATGCTGCGCCAGTCCGTTCCGCACAAATTGTTGAAGCATGCAAGCGGCAACAGTTGGTGGGGAACGGACTGGCGTCGCGCCAAACCCAACCCCTTGACACTCCCCAGCAATCAGGACTGTATCTCCGGTTTTTTAGGCAATGTTTCATACAAAACGTACAAATCCAATGAGAGCGTTTTTATGTACTCATCCTGGGGGAGGGGCGGGTGTGGGGGAGGGGGGTGTAACCTTTGTCTCTGGGATAAGATAGTGAGTGAGGAGTGTTTTAAATATTAAAAGGGAGATAGAATATTCCGCAGTGAGATGGCACGCAAAGAAAGCCACGGATTACTATGTACCAACCGAATACATGCCCTTGGAGGGGATCGGCAAAAATTTTCTCAGTAAGACCTTCCGAACCTCGAACAATTGACAAGCACAGATGAATAGAAACGAATTAAAAAGGTGATTTCCACTGCTCGAAAGGATTAGCGCCTCATAAAGTGCATCCCTCGGAAAAACGTTTCCAGTTCGTTTCTCATCTGGTTGTTCCTTCATCTAGATACCCTTTTTTGAAGAATAGGTTCATTCCGGGTACATGTGATTTACCCATCATTGCCGCATCAATGTTCCTCATCAATGCTCCATGCTTTCGTGATGAATCACACCAGCTCATCCCCATGGGAATATCCCGCGTCAATGCGGCCCACAAGACTTATTACATCCCCGGTTCACGACATTGAACCACACTTCCATTCTAATCTGTTCCTATTAATAGCTGGCTGAATCAGTTTAGATGACGTCTACGACTACTGAATGCGTAGGTTTGATGCGAATTTGTTTGCCTCATCTACAGGTGTAGCAGTCTCTGAATCTGTGCCTCTCTATGGGAATTTTGGAATCTTCTCCCTTTTTTCCTATTACAAATGTTTCTACGGTTTTGTGAACCCTCCTAGTTGTCCGCAAGGCGCACTTTCGCCACCAACTAACTACTAAATTCAACTATCAAGCAGTAATTATAGTCAAGGACGGATACGACCCTCTCTCAGCGTCACGAGCTAGTAGGACTACCCCCCTCCCCCTCCTCCAGCGAGCGCGCGTGAAACAGGTAGAACCCACTATGAAAAAACTTTCGACGCTGTGCAAGTAAAGGGGGGGGGGCACTTTGCTCTTCCGCTCCCTTGTCGTGTTCACTGCTTTACAAGAGTTGACAAGTAGTTACTAAAAAATTGGACTGGTATCACTTCATGGTTTCACAGGATTTCACAAATCTCTACTTGATTGCTCGACGCGACAATGAGAAGCAGCAAAAGTGCAAAATGCCCCTTCCCGTTGACCAGAGTGCACCGTATTTTCTTGAGCCGGCATGACCACTTCTGCCACGAGCAACCAAATGCGCCCCTCACTTAAGGTTCCCGTGCTCCGCCGTACGACCCATTTATCATTTATGTACCCGTTTCCCCTTTACTTTTTTATCAGTGAAAAGAATTCGTGCGGCGCAGCTATCCCCCCTGCGACGCAGCTATCCCCACGCGGACGTATTCAGCCTTTAATACCCAGCTTTCTCTGGGTATTAAAGGCTGAATACGTTCTGGTATCTCACAAAATGACGTTTCGAGTCAATGTGCCATCCATTCGCTGTATCATGTGGATTGAAGACACATTCCGCGGTTATCTGAACAGGTCAAGCATCACCTCACAGACGATTGCCGGGTCGGCTCGAGTTGTCCCCTTAAGTAGGTGTTCATAAGATCCTTATGACCGTCGACGTATCTGCCCTATTTCTCCGGCTGCCTCGCGCGTTGTGATACTAGTAACTACAGAACAGAACTGGCCGTTCCATTCCAGATTCCATCCTCCCTGTATAGTGTGTAACCTCATCCGCAAACAAGTGACATGCCGAGGTCGTAAGTTGAGAGATACTGGGGAATACTGAATGAGCAAAGTTGTTTTATTATGATAATTGGACACTGTTTGGCTTCTAAAGGGCATTTTGCACTTTCGCTTGTTCCTGCTGTTAATTCATCTTAAATAATAAGGTCGCACTCTGATCTGTAAAGTCCTGTGAACTTGTGAAATAGTGCAAACGAGCCGCTTTCTTACAGGAACTTACAGGTCTTCACAAGGTGGCCTTTACAATCTTAGCTATTGCCAATTGATGCCCCCGCCAAACCGAACTACGCCTGATAATTGCTGTTCAACGCCCCAGTTCGCGTCCCGAAAATCTAAGAATGTTGACTTATGGGCAAAAGTCTTGATAGCGGACAGGGTTCAATTCCGCACGTCAAGCTTTCCGCGCGATTACGCTATCCGCTGCGCCACTGAGGGCGCTCTTACCCACTCATGGTCAACTTAATGGTTTTGTGATTTCACCATTTTACCTAATAAGTCCATATCGGCAGTGAACTGCTGGGCTGGAGGTGATATTCCGCGAAGAACAGCAATTTTGGCGAAAATGTACCACGTTCTTATTGTTGCTCAGGCACATAACCCTGCCCTTGGTAGTTCACACATAACGGGGGCAATGGGGAGGGGGGATCGTGGAGGTTTTCCACTTGATTTTTGCCCATAACCCACAGTTCTTCTGTTAACTGTCGCCAATATTTCGAAGACCTTCTGAAAAGGGCACACCTCCTGCACGGCATCTTCTATTACCGTAAGGTCAGCATGGCTTCTTGTGCGCCTTTTTTATGTTTATATTCTTCAATAGAAGGTTGAAATCGATTCGAATCGTTCCCCATCTCATCCTCTCTAAGAATGACTAGAATTACAATGTTATGTAGTGCTCTTTTGAAATTTCTCCACATAAATCCTTCCCTTCTTGTTCTTTGTTCCAAACTTCTGTTATCCAGTTTTTTCCCAGTTCTTGGCTCATCAGCCCCTCTACCAGTTCTTGGGTCATCAACCCTCTACTGCTTCTTTCTATAATCATCTCTGCTGGAAACTGTCCCTCTGGGATAAGCATTTTTTGGAAATAACCGTTAATTTAACTGAGCGTACTTATCAAATGGTGGTCTTATTTATGAGACTTCAGAGTATTCCTTTTTCGACAGAGTTAATATTCCCCTCCTATAGGCCCACTTACTTTCTTATACTTGTTATTGATCTCTAGAGATTTTCTTGCTTCAAATCTTATTGGCCTGAGAATAGCTCATGCCTGAAACGCCGTGAAATAACATTACGAAAAGGGCTCAATTGTATCTGTTGCTGAAATGTTAAAAAATACACCATTCTCAGGAAACCACATTCAATCAGTTTTGCATAAAATCACCAACGAAAAAGGCTAAGAGCATAGAAAGTAGAGCTCCAAAGGATGTAGTTGAGAACGTTAACAGACGGACTTTCAATGCTTAACTTCAAACGGCCGCAGGACAACTCGTCTGTCAGGCACAGCATCACTGGCCACGCCCACAGCGCGATACACTACGATTGTCTTGTCACACCTCCCCCTTTTTTGATATTGATGGACTCTTCGTATTAATCGGAATTACATCATCCGTGACGGATTGATGGGCAGAAGGCCTCAACTCGTAGAAGACTTTTTGACCCTTCCTTATTCTACTTTTTTCAGCGACAGTACGGCGAAGATGCGATGTCGAATGCGGAAACAGCTGTTTATTCAACGTAATAAGGTATGTCGTTCCGTAAATTTCATTTACGCTTTCTCGCCAATCAAGACGACAATTGATTTGTAATTACATTTTATAATAGGTAATTGTTTCATATAATACAAATAAGTGTCAGTTCCTTGCAAATTTACAGTTTGCCCTAAAATAACCAGATGTGTTTCATACTTTGATGCGTTGCAAATCGATAGTCATTTTTCTCATTCCATCAGTAGTTCCGTCCCCATTCCCGTTTTACTTTTCCGACTTATTGCATTCTTTTGACTCCTGCTTGGATCAGCGACCCAACAGCGACAAGACTGCAACCTAGATTTTGGCCTCTCCATTTGTCACAGCTTTATGATTTTGGCAGTTATTCAACTTTGAGCAATTTATAGCCACTCTTACAAACAAGTGAGGTAAAATTGTCGCGCTGCCAAAGACCAAAGACAAGGACACTGAGGACCAGACGTGCAAAAGAGGCAATTCATTAGCAGCAAGAGAGTAGTGGGGTTTACAACAGAGATGAGAGGCGCTAGCAATTCGTCGGTGAAAAAACGAGTAAGCATTTTCTGATGGATTTTGAGAAGCGCGCACAAGACAATCAATTGTAGGAGATTTGTGCCTACAATTGATTTTTGGCGTTGCATAAGGATACAGTGACGAAACAGTGAGTGTTTGAACGAGAGAGCAGACAACAAGAGATGGGAGGCACGAGGGATTCTGAGGACACCCTCGGTGGGAGTATCTCGAGCTAAAAGAGCTCAGAAGCGCATTGTAGGTTTCTAGTGTCACTTCCAAGCAATCACCTCTTGCGAAGGTGCTAGAACGTCAGCGTTTACGGACCTCCACTTCCCACTTACAAAAAATGCCGAAGGGATTGTAGCTCTCAGGTTATCGCGAGGCTGAGCCTTTTAACACATCTTACGATCATCCGAGGCATGGGCACCTTGCTATGTGTAGACAGGGTACAGGAGCTGCTCCTCCCCCACTCGAAAGAACGTGGCAAGGGCGCTAGAAGCCTGTGATGGCGAGGAACCCCGCCCATACTGAGGATAGAGCCCCTAAATGTAGTGGCACGGCTGCGATCAATTTTCCTGCCCTCGGGTTATGTAAGTGTATTCCTCTATTATCTGGGACTCATTTCTGGAGTTTTCGGGTGATTTCTTCTGCTTTTTTTCACTTTCAAGCCAGTTACCCTATTCATGTGTCGGAACTCGTCGCGCGGGCACGTCCTCCGTGGGGAACGAGTTTGCAAAGTGCAGCCCACCCCTCCCCCGGATTTCTCACCCTCCCCCATCGTTCCCAACATCCTACCACTTTTCCAGAGTTTTTTTTTTCAAAGATTCCTCTACCCTGTTCCCGAAAATTGCCTTCTTCAAAATACAACGTATAATGGCTATCACTTAAACTGATTGTTCAGTAATTCATGAATTCTTGCTCGTCGCGGACGGTGAAGCTTGTCAGGGGTGGGGTTGGGTGCGGTGCCAACCGCTTCTTCACCAGTTGGGGAAGCTGGAAGAATACAATTATCGGAAGAATCGCTGGCGCCGCGCCAAACTCAATTCGACACGCCCCATCCTCCTGAGTATACCCAGCGAAGAGGGTTGTAGGCAAACATTATGGGACTGATAGCCATTATTACAAAGAGAATGGCTCATTTTTTCCCTAAATTTTGAGACACTTCGAGGGACATATGATGGTTTTTCTTTGTCGTCGGCCACCAACTGTTGGTTCGGAATATGATACTGTGCTTTCCAGGTCTGCGACTTCTCGCTCATCTTGGCAATAGCCGGACTGTTATTTGTCATAATCGATGCCGAACTCACTGCACTTTCATCAACTACTCATATCACAAAGGTTCATTTTTAATAGATGCTTCGTAACAATCATCGACCGACTTTGGCTGAGCATTTCCTGGAATCTTCGCGTGGCTGCTGAACGTTGCGAACGGGTCCCAAGACAACCATAAGTGCTTGTGCGCATTGAATTTCAGGGCGAATAGAGAGGATTAGTGCCATCATTCCATACGTCCTTCGTCATTCTGCCCTGGGAATAGTGAAATTTGAGCCCTGAACGACAGCAATAGTTCCTTCTTGATGAAACAGTAGTGAGAGGGAAATTGCAGAATAGTGGGTGGGGGTGTAATAGTCAGTTCACATAGAAAAGCGTTGGAAGCTAAAACACCTGACTTACCGCCCACACTAATTATCAAGCGGCGCCAGTAACTCTGTTCGTCATGCGACGAGTTAGGGTTGCCCGTAGGATCTCTGTGCTCGAGGACAAGATGAACATCGTTTTGTTCGTTTAGCGCTTTCAAGAAATTCGACTATTGAGAGTAATCTGGCCGCTGAAATCCCATAAAGCATGCGTCACAAGCTTTTCCCTTTTTGCCTGCGACAGTGATCCTTCCCTTTGTCAAGGCTCAGCGGCAAAGGAACGGATCACTGTCCCCCGCAAGGACGCGTACGAGCAGAAGCACGGCACGCTGTCAGGCGATCTTCTTCGTGCGACGGAGGTAAGATACTACCCCTGAATTTTCAGCAACGGTGTTTAGGGTTTTTCAGCCACCGTTCCTGGTCCAAGCAACAAACGGTTTCCCGCTAAGTGGATATAATATTCGTGTTAAGTAGGCCAAGATATCCCCTGGGACAAATTTTCAGCTAAATCTGCCTAAGGAGAAAATAGTGGGTAAAAAACTGAGAGCAGTTTGGTGACGGGGATGGGCATTTTGCAATTTGCGTCGACCTGTCGAGCCACCTAGAGAGCTATTTTATTAGCTTGTAAGACTTGACAGGTTTCACCATGGTAAGAGCTTGCCCGGCTTCACAGGAGCTCACTGGTTTTACAGGAATCACACTTGTATACCGAAATTAGTGACAGCGAAAGCGCAAAATGCTCCCCCTGTGGCTGAACTGCGCCAAAAACTATCTTGATATAGGGCAGCAAAGGGTAAATAGTGCCTACGACTGTGCCTTTACCCTGAGTCTCTCCCTTTCACGTTATGTTCCCGTAGTAGTAGGTTTGGCCAGTGGAGTCGTCGACAGCGAGCACGGTTTGTAAAATATGACATACTAGAGAGCGTGGGGATCCCCTCCCCATCTCCTTCGCCCTCTCTTGAAATCCTTCTGAGTTAAAGATAGGCTTCGAAGCAAAAGAAATGCTGACCTCGAGAATTGTGTAACGATGTGGGCATGGTATTGGAAGCTTTCCACTAATTTGCAACCTGTACTCTGTTGCAACCCTTCCATTCTTGTTATTTCGCGTATAGAACAGTACAGCTCAAGTATAAAGTCATACTCAATTCAGGGCTCACAACATATCCTTACTTCTTCGCTCCTTAGCCGTGCTCACAACTATATGCCTCATGTGCTGTCTCATCAATTATCATGCAATAGAAGTAAGTTATCGTTGATTTTTGATGATATTCTAATGCCAAATCCGGGAGAATGTAAAATGGAACCTAAGGTTTTTCTGAATGGGATTCGCTTTCCCTAATTTTAGCATTAGGGCGGTAATATTACTCTTTATTTTTCCAGGAGAAACGTTTCTTTAGGGGAACTGATGTAGTGGTAAATGGGGCTCCTGAATATATGTATAGTTCGGTTCGGAGATTAAGTGATGGATGGCTCCGCTTGGACCAACCAAGATTCAGTTCTGCGGGTCGAGCATGTGGTACAAAGCTTGTGGGGAGGATAAAATTTCGACGTGTACATCAATTGCAGTCCCTAGTAGTCACACATAGGTAAAATCGTTTTCCTATATGTAACTAGGACTGCGAGAGAATGTGTAATGCACGCCATGCCCCTGAAAAGGCCGACCACAAGGTGATTACGCTCATCCTTTCGTCCGCTTCCAGTCACATTCGGAGCGTTTTGATGGAAAATACTCCTCGCTTATCTTTGGGCTCATTCGACTATAAAGGAGGAGTTACCTTTCGCCTTCAACCTGCTATAGAAATATTCCACGTGTCACACTGACGTTCTGAGAGATAAACTTGAAAACATATTATTTACGAGCTTCTCAGCACCACCTCGCTTATGGCAAGAAAGAACCCGCGATTACTCGCCATCTCAGATGGTGGATTAGGGGTTCCATATAGACGACAAGGGGTTGAGTAACTCGACTGTGAACAAAAAAAGCACAAAAAACATGCCACCTGCCTGAATAGAACCCCATTTCGATCCCAGTTGTATCTGCCAATCATCTCTATCTCTAAAACTACTCTCATATGCCACAAACTGATTCACCATAAGGATTGTCCGATCGACAAGTGCTATTAGCAGCTTTTTCTTTGCAATCTCATTTTTCACTGGAAGTCGGTCATTAGGGGCGGAGTCTGGAGGCGGAGTCACTGGAAAAAAGGAGGAGCCACTGAACCTATATTGCGCTACAGCGCCCCTCCCATAGAATTTTTTGCCGCGAAACCGGTACAAGGTTGTTCGTCGCGGACCACTCTAACCTCCTGACGCCATATTTTCAACTTCGATACCTGATCGCGGACCGTGCCTTCAAGCGGTAGCAATGTGCAAGCTATGCACGGGTGGCTTGCAAATACGTAGCCATGCTCACTGAGGGTGCAGCATCGTGGTGTGGGAAATGATACGGTGGAGGTATGATCCCCCTCCTCCCCTTCCCCATTCCCCACCTACCATCTTCCTAATCAACTTTTTATCAGCTTCCCAGAGATTTTCCCAGTTTTTCCAGAGAAACTTCCCTCGAGCGCGGGTTGGGAGGCCTCTACGGTCTCGTTCTGCGGATCCTGGGGCATTTAAGGTGCCGAAGAAGGAGAGAGCGGCGGGAGCTGTATTTATCACGGCTCCAGCCTGCTTTCCAGCAGTTGTGAATGTGGCAGGGGCCGCAGCGGAGAATGCATTGGCAGAGAACCACACTATAACTCCTTAAATTAGCTATCAAATCATTGGTTCTGTAGTGGTTGTGCGACGGAACCAGTTAAAGGGAATATATGTGAAACGGGAAATGATGAGCAGTCTACAACCTGAAAAAATATTTTCGCACTCGGAAAAATTTTCCTCAAGGCTGGATACACTGACCAAATACGACCCATTCCCCAGCGGTGACTACGACCTCCTCCCAGCAGCCATGTACTCACTCTGATGGAATTTTCGCAACGGTGCTGTATCCTGTTAGCATAAAATGATGAAAGGATGCCACTACTTCCCATCGACTTGTCGACCCATCGAGCAGAGATCTGTGAAATCTTGCAACATGAAAAGATACCTTTCAAAGTTTGTAGCGACTACTTGACAACCCTTGTAAAGCAATGAACACATCGATGGGAGGGAGCGAAAGTCCAAATGCCTCCCCACCCCCTCCAATCCGAACTGCGCTGAAAAGTTTATTTCATATGGAATAGAAATCTACCTTACTGAAATGTAACTTGCTTCTTTCCATGGTCCACCTTCCCGAACTCTCACAAAGAACGTTCCAATTCTGACTCCTTTAAATACTTCGGTTCTCTCTGAATGCTTTTTCTTCCATATTTCTCTTCTTTTGTTTTTTGTT